TTAGGATGCGAGATAAAGGAGAAATGTGTAGCAACTGGGAGACAACAATGCATATTCAGTCTCAAGAGGGTTGAGAGGAAACAAATACATCCACTACTATTTGAAGCCAGAACTACTGAGCGATTTGAAAATATACCTAGAACATGAACCCAATAACAACAAGGAACTCGAAGAAGAAGGAGGACATAAGTTTTGAAGGATCAACAGTTAAAGAAGGGGAATCACAAAAAGAAGCGGTAACAGAGCATCTAGTCAAAGGAGCTTGGACACCAGGGACATTGAAGGGGTACGCAAGCACGGTTAGGAAGTTCAAAGCTTGCATCAATAGTACGTGGAGAGAGTTTAAAGGAGATGAACCAATGAAGGCAGAGGATGTGTATGGCTTTATAGTGTGGGCAGGACTGTCAGAAGTAGGAAAGGCGGAGGCACCGGGGAAAGAACTGAAGTCAAAGACAATAGCAAAATATATAGCAGGTTTCAAGGCATGGCATATGGCCAAGCACCACAAGGAACCAAAATTGGACAGAACAATGATAGAAGGACTGCTGAGAGCCGCGGAGAGATTGGCAGAGAAAAGAGAGCTGACAAAAGAGGAAAAAACAGAGAAGAAGGCAATAACGGTGATGGACCTCTTCAAAATGGTGGCAGGTTTAAATGGGAAATTGGAGTTACATGACTTAGCAGTAGTGATAGCACTGGTAGTGTTTTGGGGGATGGCACACCTGGGAGAGATCTTACGGGACTCAGCGGAGGAAGGAGCAATTAAGGTGGAAGACTTATCTTTTGAACAAGGGAAGAAGGGGAGGATTGCAATACTGAGGCTGTGGAAAGCTAAGATGGCCAAGCCCGGAGAAGCCCAGTACATCAGGTAAGAGGGGAGTCAGCGGGAGATAAACAAAAGCTAAAACTGCGGTTTGTATGCTTGGTAGGTTATACGAGCAGTTCTCAGTCCTAGGCCCGGTCTCAGCTTTGACAAGGTTATTAACGAGTGAACATGTGAAGAGGAGGGGAAGTGATCTGCTATTCTCGGCAATGATAGGAGGCGAGTGCCAACCCTTATGCAAGTTAAGGTTCCGGAAGATGTTGGAAAGCGTATGGGGTTTAGGAGGAGTGAAAGACGGTGGATGGTCCGGACATTCATTCAAGGTAGGTAGTGTGTTGTTAAAGTTTAACATGGGATGGGATAAAGAGAGGATAATGGAAGAAGGTAGATGGAAATCAAGCGCAATAGACATATATTTGAAGAGATGTACGGAGAAGGAAAGAGAAGAAACAAAGGAATTCTTATGGATAATTGATAGAAGGAACGGGAGGGCAGAGGGTGAAAGGAGAGAGAGAGAAAGAAGGAAGAAGATGTGCGACTGAAGATACAAAGATGAGGAATCAAAGTTAGAGATATCTACACATAGAATGCTCTTCAATGAAAAGCTTGAAGATCTGATGACTGAGCTGAGCCCGTGCGAGTTGTGGGCTTCTCAACAAGTTGAGGCTCTCACAAGACCCACCTAGATGGGAGGTTCACGCAGCCCACAAATGAGATTGACAAACTCAACAAGAGATTGGCTAGCGTCAGCGGCTATTATATTGTAAGATCACCCCAAGCCTGCGACAGTAATCTGTAGTCCATTACACGGGGTGTAGTAGAGACCGGCAGGGTGAGAGCCCCGAGACACTCTCGGGGTCCAAGAATAAAATTGTGGTGCTGATTTGGTCACTTGAGGAAAAAAAATCTTCTCCACGCCTCATTTTACCTTCTCTCACTCTAGTGGGCTCAGCTCTCATTTCTATTCTCTCTGAATCCTCATAGCCTTTTAAATTTTCAATTCTTCATTTACAATCTAAAGTCCTTTCACTAGTCTCAATGAAATTAACTCAAACTACGGGTCGAATGAATCAAGAACATAGAGGAAAACTATTTGCAAATAAAAATAAACTTCAAGAAAAGGTAGTTATGGTGAAATCATTGGAAGAAGAGAAAGCTTTGAGGATGGAGAGAGAGAAGGAGCAAGCAGAAGAAAGGTTAAGAAGATCAGAATCAAGAACTCAGTCTGAGAATCTTGGATCTACGTTTCAAGGTCAGAAGGAACAAGGAATGTCAAAAGGAATTGTACTGGACCAAGTAGACAAAGTAGAGGTTGAGGATGGAGATGAAGACTCACGCTCAGGTTCTGATACTCAAGATGTAATACTGCTTGAACTGAAGAAGAAGGAATGAGAGAAGTTAGTGAGGTGGAGAGAAGAAGAGCAAAGACAGCAAGAAAGAAGACAATCAGACCTTGCTGAGAAAGATAGTGAAACAGATGTTCACATACTGCCTTATAATGGTAAGTGTACTTTTGAAGTTTGTGGTGGCTCCTCTTCTTTCTGGTTTCTGTCAGAGTATCACGTTTTGCTGTCCTTCAATCAAAATTCCCAATTTTGATGGCTGCTATAAGCGCCAAAGTAGTAGAAGAGCAGAGGTGAATTGGGCTGCTGTTAGCACCATATGTCGTGAAATCCTTTTTGGTACAACAAGCTGCTGCTGGAAGCGCAGATTTAGAGTAGACTAAAGGAAAATATTCCTGTCTCTAGAAAACCTAAGTTAGGTTCTTGTCAGTTGACAAGTCTAGTGGTCTGGCTGCTATTAAGCACCTTCTTAAAACTCGTTTAGAATAACGGAGTGAATAATATAGTCCAAGATACTTACGTAATCTTTGGTTTTTCCCAATTTGGTCCTGTTGCACAGCCTTGTGCGAGTTGAGAGACACAGGGAAAGGCCTAGGGAGTGCAACTCTCTTTCAACGACTAACACAAGTGTTAGACAACAAGAATGGCCCGGAAGCTAGGCGGTTGATAAAAGACTTGAATGTGTCCTTTGGCTCGATGGTCCATATGGAATACAATGTTTATAAACCGCCAGAACTAGAGCATTTATTGACATATCAAAATCCCCCGGCGCTAGTTGGAAGTGGTTTGATCTGAACACAAGCCCAATTGCCGGTTCCATGGGCAAACCATGATGAAGGAGAAGCGCTGGAGCAGCAAGCTAATCCTATCGCCCCAACAGACCAGTCGGGTACTGGTCTTGATCCCATGGAGTTGAATTTAGTTCATGATGTGAAAGCTAAGAGGTAGAAAAAGAGCAAAAAGAAAAGTAAGAAGAGGGACATACCAAGTAGTGACTCATCGTCTAGCAATTCTGAAGATTCTAAGCCAAAGAAGAAGAGATCACGAAAGAAAAGTTCTAAATATAAAAAGAAACACTCTTCGAGTTCAAGCTCATCAAGCTCAAGTGACTCAAGCTTGGAAGACTCCAATTCTTCCTCAGATTTTAGCTTGGATGAATCAGATCTTGCAAAGAAGGCGGATTTAGAATGCAAAGTAGTGGAATTTGACTCGGCTGATCTCCCGGATCTCCAAGTCCCAAAGAATTGGGACAAAGGTTTCAAACGTCTCCGCGTCTATGTGCCCCTATCTGTCTTCAAGAAATCAGATTTAGAATCTTATCACGATGATGATGATAATGATGAAAAGTCAAAAGACAAGAAGAACAAAGCAAAAGCTCGAGAGAAGGCTTTAGAAAAACAACTTACATATGGTGATTTCATGGAGATGTGTGATCTTGAAGAGCGTTATGCGCAAGAGATTTACCATTTAGACGCTTATGCAGATTATATTGTGAAGCACAAACAAATAGTTTCAGATTTGAAGAAGAAGTATTTATGTTGGATGGTTGGACTTCAATACCACTTGTCAGTCAGAACAGTGATTTTTAGACGGCGTAAACTCATCAAAACAAAAGTTAATGGGAAGTCGGTGTGGAAAGATAAGGTCCAAATCCCTAATGGCCTTCAGCCTAGTGTCGAGGGGAAAGCTAAATTTAGTGCTGAACAAGCCGGAGATCTGCAATATGATGGGAATCCATACGCTCCGGGAGGTCCTAAGTACGGGCTCAGATTCTTGACTGGGCGTCCTAAGTCGGAAACAACTACTCAAGTAATTTAGAAAGTGATCAAGAGAGTGATAGAAGTGGCACCGTCTACATCTAATCATTCTAGAGGAAAGAGAGGCGGAAAGCACCCGTATGTGAAGAGGAATTTTTATGCTTCAACCGTAATGGTGAGTTCCCATTGAGATTTGGGTGAATCATGATAGGAGTTCTTACTCATGTGTGGAGCGGTTCTTCTCAGATTCCCATCAGGCAGCAAATACGGCAATGCCGGTTCAATTGTCATCCTATAAGCCAAATTACTTTCAAAAAGGGACAAAACAACAAGGGAAATCTGGAACGCAAGAAGAGAGTTAACCTGCGTGAGTAGTGTGTTTACTGGAGTTATGCTTTCAGTAAAACAAGCTCTGGTGGAAAGTTTGTTTTCTTGCCGGTGGGCCTGGTTGATGATTAATACAACTTTGGTTTTCCTTGATTTGTGCTGCTGTTGGGGTTATGGGTGTGATGTTATCCTTGTTAGTGCTTGATGATATAGAATCTTGTTTTCTAAGTCTATTGAAGTCCTGAAACATTAAAAACATTTGAAATTTGAAGTTCTTGAATTCAGGATCTGGTTGTGCGTTGCTGAGAAGTTTGAGAGTGAGTGTCATGAACAGAGTCAAGTGCTAGTACCTGAAGATGGTATTGGCCAGGAAGACTCTGGTAGAGACGAGTGCAACACTACCTCAGACGATTCATCAGACGAGGAGTCTAAAAGACAGAAGAAACAGCCAATACCTCTCTATGAAAGGAAGATTTTTACGGTTGAGGTGAAAGATCCTTGGCCGGTACCAGTATCTTGCAGGATGAACATAGTAGAGTGGGCTTGTCTGATGAAAGAAGTAGGTCTGACGAGAGAAATACCTTATATTGTGACAGGATTCACAGAAAGTTTTTGCCTTGGTATACCTCAACATGGTATTGCAGGGATGAATTGGTACACTCCGGAAAATCATACCTCCGTCTTGTCAGCTAGAACGCAAATCGAAGCAACTTTGAGAAAAGAATTTGAGGCTGGAAGATTGGCAGGACCTTATACACACAAAGAGCTAAGAAGGAAATTTGGTTTCTTCAGATCAAATCCAATGGGCAGCGCGGTAAACAGTGACAGTTCAATTAGAATGGTTAACGATTTATCATTCCCCAAGAATGTAGTTGGTGTACCTTCAGTAAATTCTTTTGTAAATAAGCTGAATTACGGGACTTTTTTGGATGATTTTGATAAGGTAGCTGGTTTCTTTCAAGATAATCCAGGTGATTGGGATCTAGGAACATGGCAGAAGGCCTATAGGCAACTTCCGGTCCACCCGTATCAAAGACGTTACTTATGTATTCTGGATTTCTACAATTGTTTATGGGTAGATCTGGCTGTCGGTTTTGGTGGAGTTGCTAGTTGTGGTGTATTCAGAGAACCAGCACATGTATGGAAAATTGTAATAGAGATGTTGCTGAAGATTGTGAGGGTAGGTGCTCTTGAAGAGGACTCTAAGCTCACTAGTTGGGAAATTGGTAGGATTGATTTAGGAATTTTCAATTCTTTATTTCATATATGTAGTATCTACAAGTGAAATAAAGGAAAGAAGGAAAGAGGGCGAATAGAACAAGTAGTCTGTTTGGACAAACCCAAACAGACTACAGTTAAGTGACTCCTTAGAAGGAGATTATAAATAATATCTAGTATTATAAGTAATGGATGAGGGTTGGATCCAAGACCCTCCTTTAATCTTTTATTAACAGATTTAAAGGGTGAGATAAAGATCACCAAACTGGTTGTTCTTGTGGTCACCAATCTTGGGTTATTCTTATGGTCGCCAACCTGAAAGTTCTTCTTAAGGTCACTAACCTGGGGCTGTTAGAGGTCACCAACCTAGGTTGATTTCTACTTGGGGGAAGCAGAGGATCCAGAGGGGAATGAAGAATGTATTACCTACTTTTAATCAGGAAGCTGATTAAAGTTGATGAAGCTTATCACTAGTCTTATTTATATATAAGACTCTCGATATGTACTTCAGTTGAACTTTAATTGTTCTTTAAAAGTAGTGGGTAATTATTGCTTGAGGGGAATCTCTGAAGGCTGAGAGAGGAGGGGTTTATATACTCTCCTCTCCAAACCTAACTGTAGTGATATTTGTTATTATCACTACATTGGTTCAGGGTTAATCATTACTATATGTTAATGTGTATCACTAGTAGTGCTTAATTACATATACATGTTATGTGTGATATGTAATATAAGCATTTAACTCTTGACACTGAGTTATGAGGTGTAAATGGTGTTTTATTACATGTTACATGTTGTTTTACGGGTTCATTTATATGTAATAAAGGTTTTGGTACATTGTATTACAGGTTACATACAGTCTATGTTCAGTATGTAGCATGTAATTGATTTTATACATGGTGTTTTTACTGTTGCAGGCTAGTTTTGGGTCCATGTATATGTACTCAGGGCTGACAAAGATCTTCAAGATCTTCAGGTGGGTCAACAATAATCTAATGCTTAAGAGACCAGAAGACAAAGTATCCTTAGATGATGTGACAAATCTTAGTATGAATTTAGGAGTTATGACTAACCCACCGAAGAACTTTGAATTTGTGGTGGAACAAAGATTTGTTGTTTTTATTTGGAATGGTCATGATCATACTGTTAGATTACCTGAAGACAAATTAAGAGAAAGAATCCAGTTAGTGATTGAATTTCTTAGACCAGGTGCGAAATGGGTGTTAAATCAAGTAGAAAGTTTTGTGGAGAAATTGGTACATACAGTATACATTGTCCCACATTTGAAGGCTTACTTAAGGTCGTTTTACCGTTGGATGAAGAGTTGGAGAAATAAAGCGGCGCTGAGAGAACACCTGTTGGTGTGAAAGCAGATTTAAAGAAATGGTATTGGGCACTGAAGAATTTTAACTCACAACCGTTGATCCCTTCTCCCAAAGCGACGGAAGTTGCTTGGGTGGGGGACGTGTCGTCCTCCTTTGGAATTGGAGTGCTAATAGGAAAGCAGTGGGCCTGTTCCAAATTTGTACCTGGTTGGCAAACTTTAGGTTTATTGGAAGATAAACGCTTGATAGTGCGGGCAGAGACAGTTGCCATTTGCTTGGGGCTGTTAGTTCTACAGAAGGTATCATCTATGGAAGGTGAGTACTAAGGAGAAGTCGTTTAGTGAAGACTGTTCTGATTTCTTGATTGTTCTAGGCAAGAAATTTGCGGTGTGGACGGATAATACAACATCTCAGTCAGCAGT